AGAGGCCTGGTCTGGGGGCGTGGCTGTGTGACTGGGGGAAGTTACTTGACATCTCTGAACCTCCAGAGTGAGACCCCAGAGACGTGTTAACAGTAACCTGGCTCCTGACTAATCACCTTTCCCACCCGGACAGCCCGGGGCTTGCGGTTGCGCTTCGGCCACCCCCCGTTGGGGGGGGGAGGGAGGCAGGCGGTTTGCCGGCCAGGAAAACAGGGAACGGAAGGAACCAGCAGGCTTCCAGGCCCGAGGGCACCGGAGGGGCACGGCCGCTGCCAGCCAGAGAAGGCCGGGCCTCCATCACAACAGCCCCGCTGCGGCACCCGGCTGGGCGGGACACGCACCACCCGCCGCCCCCGGCCCGAGTCCCGGGCCCCTTGCCCACATCACCCTTGGGCGCCACGACGCTGGGGAAATTCAGCCACGAGCTCTCCTGGCGGGTCCCGCGGGGGCGGGTGGCGGAGGGAGGGCAGCAGAGGTGGGTACAGAGGACGCCAACGCCTCCGAAATCAGCGGTGCCGCGGGAAGTCAAGCGTGAAATTAACTTTAATCCCGCAGCAGCCCGGCACGCTGACGTGGAGAAATTAAAGTGACAGGGCAAGGTCCCCGGGGAGGGAATGACCTCCCACCTCGCGGCAATGACAGCAGCGGGAGCCGTGTCCCCCCACCCGACCCCAGCCGCGATATCTCGCCGTCCCCATTGCCGCTGTCCCTTGGCACCCACATATGTATCTTTTATCTGCCTGCCCCACTGGAGTGTCAGGCCTCAGTCACTGCCTGGCACATGGTAGGTGCTCAGTAAATATTTGTTGAATGAATGAATGAAGGAGTCTTGATCTCTGCAGATAAAAGTAAGACAAACAAAAAACACAGAGTGTTCTCTCTGTGCCCAGCACTGAACTCAGCGTAATGCGTTTCACCTCCACCAACCCTCTGGGATGGGTCATCACTGCTCCCATCTTACAGATGAGGAAACTGAGGCACTGAGGGCAGGTGACTTGCTACAAGGACACACAGCTAGTCACACAGGCAGAATGAGCCAGGTCAGGCCTGAGCCCTCTATGTCCAGCCACACGGTGGGACTGGGCCTGCAACGGGCCTCCCTTCCCATGCCCAGCACTGGGCACTCGACGTTTTCTGAAGTCTGGCACGTGCAGAGTCACAAAACCTCAGAGCCACCCAGGAGTGCAAGGCACAGTGCAGCTTCCTGAGCATCATCCACCCTCAGCTTGCATACCTCCCAGTGACGGGGTGCTCACTACCTCCCTTGGCAGCTACGACAACACTCCTCAGCTCTGCTTTATCCAGACGTGAGCCCACTCTGTGATATGACTCCGAGAGTCTTAGCTCCACCTTCCAGAGAATTCCCGGACTTTCCGTAACAATGCCCCGCCTCCCTCTCTTTGGGCTGAACATTCTGCATCCGTCTCATTTCCCCGCCTGGCGGCACTGTGAGGCCTCCCTCCTGCCCCCCTCCGCCCTCAGGTCCCCAGGCCCTCCAGTTGCAGACAGGACCCAGCAGCCGCCATGGGGTCCCGGGAGCTCCTCTGACCCTCCACCTAGAACACGAGGCCCCTCACATCCGGGGCCCTGTGGGGCCAGCGCGGCCCCTGCCACACCTGCGTGACAGGAAGGCCCATCCAGGGCCCACCCGTGAGCGCTCGGAGGCCAGGCAGACCCATGCCACGCCCGTCAGAGCCGAGCACCCCACAGAGCCTCGGCTGACCCCACCCGCACCCGCCCCAGCTCCAGGAGCTGCCGGACAAGCCCAGCGCCTGTCTGCGTGAAATGTCCAGAGAGACATGCACAGGGCTGAGTGACTGCCTGGGGCTGGGGCACGTGGGGTGGGCTGGGGGCTCCTGTTTGGGGGGATCCCCACGCTGTGAAGTCAGCTGCAGTGACAGCTGCGTAACTCTGTGAACACGCGACACGCCACTGGGTCGCACACTCTGAATGGGCGAATTGCACGGTGTGTGACTCGTATCTCGACAAAGCTGCTTACAAAGGATCCGTCCCCGGCCACGCTCGAGCAGCAGGAACGGCGTCCGCACCGGCTACGGAGACGGGCACAGGCCCACGGGGTCCGGCCTCTCAGAGCCGAGTGCTGTGGTCCCAGACCTGGCCCTGGGCCAACCCCCCCACCCTCGCAGCTGCCAGGCCCCGACCTTGGCGTCCGCTACACCTCCCCATCCCGGACCCTGCTGCAGGGGCCTCCCCCGCCCCCGACCGGGTCCCTTCTCCCTGCGGCCACCACAGCAAACTTTTAAAACCACTGTCCGACCACATCACTTCCCGGAATAAACCTCATCGCTGACTTCCCTCGGCACGATAATAAAACCCCAATTCCTTACAGCCCTGAGTGAGCTGGGCTCTGCCCTCCTCGCCCCTGCCTAGCCCCGCGGGCCAGGCCAGCCTTCTCGGAGATCCCTGCAGCCCAGCGCTGCCCCGGGGCCTTTGTACTGCCTATTCCACCTTGCCTGGGACACTCCTGCCCTGGAGGTCCCTGCAGCCAGCCGCTGCTCAGCCTCCAAGTGTCCCCTCGACCGTGACGTCCTGCCCTGACCTCTCTGGCTCAAGTCAACCCTCCTTTTCTCTCTCGTCAGCCTGTTTCCCACAGTCACAGAATTTTCCTAAAGTAAACGACCGCACTGATTGAATGATGACCACACCAAAATCAAAATACAGATGTGAGGACGATTTCAGTGGGAAAACATGAAAAAAAACCCTTAAAGTTCTAAGGACAAATCTGTTCAAACAATTTGCTTACAGACATGTTTTTCTAACATAAAATCGACCACTTACTGTATAAGAGATCTTAATCATTCATCTCTGTATTTTGAACATAAACATGTTCACGTGCAATTTGGATGCGGAACGAATTCAGTGAGGTCGTTACCTGCTTTGCCAAAATGTGCTCAAGGAGACGAGAGCCTGTCTGTGATGAGGATTATGGGATGTCGGGCAGGGCACTGGTTTCAATCCACTTACAGTTCAATCTCTTATACTTAAACAAAGATGCGGCAGTATCTTATTTGCTGACATTATCTGTATGGTAACTTATTCCTTTTCTGTTTGGAGTCTACGGCTGTTGTTATTACCTGAAATTATCCATGTTATTCAGCGCAAAATATCATTCACTTTAAGTGATGAAACCTATGTCAAATTTCCAGTATAATAATATTGCTGCCAAAAATTATCATGTTCAAAGGGAAAAACACAACTAGGTACATCAAGGCATAAAGCGCTTATGACAGTTCCGTAGCACTTTAGATTAGCTGATATTTTCTTATTTACTGAACTCGCTTACTTTCTGTCTTTACTGCCAGGCAAAACCTGGGCTGAGTCTCCACGGCCTAGAACAGGGCCGGGCAGATAGTAGGTGCTCAATAAATGTGCGATGACTGCACAAATCAATGAACAGATGGATGGCTGAGTGAATGCTCAGTGGAGACTATCCCACCCTCCTCCCCTAAACTGGCTGTGCCCCCCCATCCCCGCAGCCTCCACCCCAGCAGGGGCCCCAGAGTGGGGCAGGTCCCAGGAAGCTGCAGAAGGGACTAGAGTAGCCCCATTGGAAAATAAACTGTGTGGACTCGATGGCACCTGGGACTCGGGCAACAAATAAGGCCACCAGGCCAATGAGAAGCACAGGGTGGCATCTGACGTGGGCATCCCTGTGTCACACCGGGGGTCCCTGGTACAGGACACACACCCCTCCAGATGCTCCGCAGCCCCTGCTGGGCATGGGCTGAGAATGACCCCGCGCCAGCCCTGCGGTGACACGTCTCCGGCAGACGCTCCTGAAACCACACGGGAGCCCCAGCCGGCGAGGAAGGCTCTGCTGGGTTGCTCCCACAGTCACGGGGAACTGCAGGAGGGTGGCCGGGTTTCTCGCCCGAGCTTGGACCGGTCATGCAACTCCAAAAACTACAGAAGAAGACCTCCCTGCCAATCAGTCCAGCACCAGCGGATGCCTGAAAACCATCGGGAGGTTTGTATGCCTCTGGGAATAGGGAGCTCACCACTGCACGTATGCTGTCTGCATTTCTATCCCAGGGAAACTTGGACGATCAGACCAGGCTAGACTACCCACTGAGCCTGCCAAGAGCCTCCTTCTGAGGTCACACTCTAACGCCTGTACACTCTCACAAAAATGAACCTTGAACATTCAAACACTATGATCTCAACGAGTCTCTTCTCCTCCCTAACGCTCCTGCCGGGCTCACAGCCACGTGTTTCTCAACAGGAAAGGTCTGTAGCCCCTTTTTACCTTTTGGATTCCTGGGTAACATGAGGTAACATCCCCTCCTCAGCGCAGGAGGCTCTGCTCCTGTTAATGCATCCCAGGAAAAAGCCAGCCCCCTTCCAGCAGCCGCACGTCCACTGCCTGCACCCAGCTTGGAGACGCAACGTTTCCAGCCTCCAGCACTGCCCTGGGCCCCCACCACACCCAAACGCACGTGGCACTTAGCTGACACTTTTCTCCCTCCTAGCAGCCACCTGGGAAAAGGCCCCAACACTGGGATACTCCCCATCAGCCACCTCCAAAGCCTCCAGGCCTGGATGAGTGCTCCCGGCTGCCCCGCGCCCGGCCGGGCCCCAGAGGGACTTCTCGGTGCAGACCCAAGGCCACCCCCAAACATGCTCACATCCGAGCCCACAGCACGGGCCACTCCCCGCCATCCTGAGCCGGCCGCCCTCCCACCGGCGGCAGTGCCCTCCTGCCCCAACAGGACGCGGATCTGCAGCCCGGACCCCCGACGCTCCAGCCCTGTGCACGGCAGCCCCCTCGCCACCCCCAGCCCCCCAAGGCCGGCTCTGGTCCCACCCTAGGCCCTACCTAGCCCAGAATTTTTGCTCAAACTCTGGCCCCTCTGTCCCTGCCTCCAGCACCTGGGCCTGGCTGGGAGCCCCGATGGGAACAGAGAGCCCACGTCCCAGCCCCAGCCACCGAGAGCCTGTCTCCCCAACCCCGTGTCAGCACGGCCATGCCAAATACTCACATTTTGATGTTCTCATGATACTGCCGGGTGTCGGAGGGCTGGTTGTACAACGGCTGCAAAGGGAGAGAGAGAAGCAGGTCAGAGCCAGGCCCGGGGTGTGGGCAGCTGGCCCGCCGGGCTGCCACTGCCCGCTGCAGAGCCCAGCGGCCAGAGCCCCAGCCCTGGGCAAGCCTGGCCTCGGGCCCAAGGCCCTGGCAGCACGGAGCCATCTGCAGGGGTGGGTGATCAGCCGCCGGCAGGCATGAAACGGAACAGAGGGTCCCGCACCCAGCCCCGTCCAGGAACAAGCTGTGACCGTCACTCCGGTCACGGCTGTGGGCACTGTGGCCACCCCTCCTCCAAGGCGGTCGCGGCTGCTCTGCGGGGCACTTGGTGGTGACGGCCCAGAGGCAGCCCGCACCCACGTCCCGGGGAGCCGAGGTCGGCCACGGCCGCTGAACGTGGGAAGCTGCTTCGCTCCCCCGGACACGCGGAGATCCACGTCTCGAACGCCGCGAGATGCCGCCTCATCCCCACCGACTGGCCGAAGTCAAAAACGTCAAATCGCGCCGAGTGTCGGTGGGGGTGACAGGAAGACTCGCTCGCAGCCAGTGGGAACACGGTGGATGGGGACACGCCCTCCTGAGGGCAAGCAGGCGACACCGGTAAAGAAGGAAGATGCCCCGCCCCCCATCCCTTCTGCAGACGCCTTGGAAGAGCGTGGTGGGCGCCGCCCGGGAGGTGGGCGCCGCAATGTCCCTGCGCTGCTGTCCACCGCCCGGCCCGCTAGAGCCGCTTGGCGCTCCCCACCGGAGGAGAGAAAGAGGAGACCAGGACTTGTTCACGCCACGAATACGACACAGCCGTGGAACACGGACACGCCAGGCCCACGCGCATCAGCGAGGACAAAGCCAGGACGCGTGCACGAGGAAAAGCAGCCCCAGGTCGCGGCGTGTGTGACAGGTCAGGGATCCAGCTGGCCGCCGGGGTCCCCCTCCCAGATGGCAGCGCCTCGGTGAGGGACCAAGGGCACAGCCTGGGTTCAAATCCCGGTTCTGACCCTTCCGGCTGGGGTCCCGGGTGGGCCGGGGCCAATCCTCCCGTGCCTGTTTCCAGCTCTGTGCGACGGGGCGAGCCCACGGGTGGCCTCAGATCACACGGGAGCGCGCAAAGGCCTGAGCCCGGCGCCCGGCAGACGCGGGAGCCCGACAGGCCTCAGTGTCCTCGTTGCCGCGGGACACAGCGACACCTCCCCGAACCCGCCCGTGCCCCTGCTGTGGCGACCGGACAGCCGCAGACTCAGTGAAAGCGGGGGCTGGGAAACACGCGTCTGCCTCGCGGCTTCCTGTCGGGAGACAGGCCCGGCCCGGCCCGCGGGAGGCACCAGGAGACAACGGGGGCTCGGCAGCGCCATCCGGCCCGGGCTGAGCTGGAACCACCGGCGCCCGCTGACCACGGCGGGGCGTGAGCGGGCCGCGCCGACAGAAACGCTCGGCCGACTTCCACGCCGCTGAGAGGCGGGGACGGCGGCCCTTTCCAGCCACCGAACGTGGCGCTGCTTTGTTAGGCAGCAGTAGCCGACTGACACGAGTCTCACCCCTACTGTACAGACGGGGAAACTGAGTCCTTCGGAAGTTAAAACACTTGCCCCCTGGTGGTAAGAGCTGAGTTTGAGCGAGAGCTCTGTCTCTCAACTCCAGCACTAGAGGGGTCTGCCCCTCTCTGCCTGCGTCTCTGTCCGCGTGTCTGTCTGTCCGTCTCCTTCTGTGTGTGTGCCTGTGTGTGTCTGTGTCTGTCTCTCTCACGCCCACACACACGGCAGGAGCCTCCCGGGGCAGCTATGGGTGACCGTGGTGGGAAGACCAGGTACCGCGTGTGAGAGGTCGGGCAGAACAGGGGAGGACGGAGCCGCGGAGTCCTGTGGCCTCGGGCAGGGCCTCGGGCAGGGCGAGGTGCACACGGCTCCTCCCTGGGAAGGAGCTGAACACGCCTCCCGATGACCCGTGACCCGGTGCAGGGGAGCCACAGGGCAGCAAGACTACAGACCCCACCCCCGTGGGGGGCGGGGCAGCCCTGGGCAGTGGGTGGGGCAGCGAGGACGGCCTCAGCTGATGACCACGCCAGCTTTCTTTCTCCCCACGGCCCCCACAACCCCGCCGTGGTAACTCACCGCTGGGCTCCGGGAATTCCAGGCTCCAAGCTCAGCTACTCTCCTGGGGACAAAGACGTCACCCTGCCACTGGCATGGACCATCTCTCCCCATGTCGGGTCAGGCTGCCCTCAGGGAGCTCGGGAAACAGGGGAGAGTCCCCACCCCCACCACAGGGCTGTGAGCAGGAGCGCGACGTGGACAGTGGAGCAGGAGAGCCCGCAGTCAGACTTGCCGCAGAACTTCCTGTGGAGAGGGGAGGTAAGACAGCCCTGCAGGAGGCTGTGAATCCTCATCTCGGGAATGGCAAGGGGCCCACAGAGATGCCTGTGCTGTGACCCGGGCAACTCTGTGCTTGGTCTTTTACGTTCCCCACGTGCCAATAAAATACAGGCCAGGCGCAAGTGGGCACCACTCACGGGCTCAGGCTCTGGAGACAGGCCCTGTTCTAAACGCTGCTTCCTCCGCGCCCGCTGTAGGCCCAGACAAGCACCTTCCAACACTCGCGCCTCAGTTTCCTCACCTGGAAAAGGGGTGTAGGGCGAAGGGACCCACCTCACGGGGCTTTGGGATGGCCCAGGAAATGTCAGACCTGGTCACTGGTTTGCCTTGCTCTGGCTGTAACGATGGCAAGCGGCCCAAGGGGCCAGAGAGGGACCCCGAGAGGGAGAGAGGGGGCAGAGGGGACACGGCTTCTGCAGCGCAAGAGGGACCGGAAAAGTGGGGGGCACCTCCAGGACGGCAGCGGGGCCCAGCCAGCCCCAGCCCACCAAGCCCAAGGGGGGCAGTCACTTCCCTCCATGACCTCCTGCCCTGCTCGATGACATGGGGACAGAGCAACCTGCCACTCAGGGCGGCCTTCAGTGAGGGGCTTCTAAGGGGAAGGCCCGCGAGGACTCGGGATCCCAGGGGCTTTGAGCAGAGGGGCTCCCCCAGGGAGGCTCCCACCTGCCCCTCCTGGAGGCAGAGACCTGGGAGAGAGGGAGGCGGGATGGAGATGCTGCCCGTCACCACAGCAACAGGCCCGTGCCATCTCGGAGGGCACAGGAGGGGTGCGGCGGGAGGGGTGTGCCTGGCAGGTGCACTGCTGAACAGAGACAGGCCCCAGGGGCCCCTTCACCCCTCCCCACTCTGCAGAAGGGGCTGCACAGAGGCCAGGCAGCCCCCCTGCCGAGGCCTGCTTGGCCCCAACATGGCAGCCATGAGGCGACCTCTAGGCCCAGGGCGAGCCACGGGGACGTGGCCTCCCCACCACTCACGGCCTCACGGGTTTCACCGTCCCGCTGGGGAGACATGACACCAGGAGGGGACACTCCCTCCCACAGCCCCCGGGGCCTGGGCCCGTCTCTGGCCCTCTCGAAGCCTGTTTCCTCCTCTAAAAACGGGGGTGCGGTGGGAAGGAGCGCAGCCGGGGCACGGGCGGGGGCAGGACGCGCCAGACGTGGCACCCCGGCAGAGACCACGCGTGGCTGTGACCAAGAGGGCACAGGAGGGTCGGGGGACGGAGGCCCCCACCCCGGCTTCAGGCCAGCCCGTGACCAAGACGAGGCGACACCCCAGGCAGACCGAGCTGGTCACAGATGAGTGTCAGCCCCGGCCCCCAACCCTCCGGTGATACCGGGTTCTTAAAATAACACCTCCCAACAGGAAGGAAGCAAATGACTCGAGCAGCAGAGAGGTCGGGCCGCTGTGCACACCCTTCGCCCGGCTCCTGCTCCGGCCGGGCCTGGTCCCCACAGAGCGCCAGGGCCCGCCCGGGACCCGCAGGGGTGGCAGGGCAGTGCCACCGAGTCTAGAGCCCCAGAGCCACACTGGGAGCCCCCCGTGCTATTTTCCTCCTTCCCAACGTGAACTCCTCCCTGAAACCCAGGCCTCCCTCCCAGGGAGGTCACAGGGACCCCAGCCCCCGAGGGCAGGGTCATCAGAAGGTTCCCAACGCAGCGGCTTCCTTGGCCGGGCGCTCCCTGGGTGGGCTCCGTGGCTGCGGGTGGGAGACACCCCGGGAGCCAGATTCCCAGCGGCGCGGCCCAGTGACCCATACCCCCGGGTCACAGCTGCTTGGAGAACACTTCTGGCCACTCGGGCATCGCGGAGACCAGGACAGAGGGCGGACCTGGGCAGAAGTGGCCGGCAGTGTCCCCATGGGCTCAGCATGCCTCCCGCCTCCTCTCTCGCTGTGTGTCCCTGGGCAAGGCACTGCCCTCTCTGAGCTTCACCCAGAAAATGGGACGGCGACGCCTGCACGTGCCCTAACGCACAGTAGGTGCCCTACCAATGTGATTCCCCACTGAAGCCACCAAGCCAAGGGCCCACTGACTTCGAGAGGACTCCAGTTGCCAGTCCAGGCACCACGGACCGCGGCTGCCTGCATCACTGGCCTTGAGGGAGCCTCTGCTCTGAGGTCCCCAAGCAGGAGACAAGCTCCTTGGCCCCGAACAACTGGAAAGGCATCACTCTGATGCTCCTGGTTCCAAAGCTCCTAAGACCGCCCGGTGGCTCTCAACCCTGCTGCCACCTCCTCCCCTGCAGCCCCCAGGCCCCAAGACACAGCGGCCCAGTCACTTCCTCCAGGGAGCCCTCGGGGACTAGTTGGTACAGGGAGAGGGAAAGCCTCCTAGTGTGGAAACGACTGAGCCCCACGTCCAATCCCGCGTTCCCTGATCAGCTCACTGTGGGCCACAGAGGGACACGGAACAGCCGGGCAGTACCACGGAGTTCACGTAAGAGCCGGTGATGCCCCTCCCGGGTGTACACACGAGGAATGAAACACGCGTGTGCACATGGAAACTGCACCCCAGCGTGGACGGCGGCGTCTCGCGACAGCCGTCTACCATCCATCCCCGCGGAGAGAAGAAAATGCGGCACGTCCCCGCAGCAGAGCATCACTCGGCTGCTAGAAAGGACGCGGCAATGCGTCATCCCTGAAAACACGGCGTCGAGCGCAAGGAGCCAGACACAAAAGGCCACCCGCGTGTGACTTCACTCGCAGGAAGGGTCCGGAACACGCAAATCCAGACACACAAGAGCTTCTTTTTAAGACGATGAGATGCTCCAAAACCGACCGCCGTGGCGGCTGCACACACGTGCGAACACGCTGAAAATCACTGAACTGTGCACTTTGCGTGGGCGGGCGGCAGGGCCTGCGGATTGCATCTCGACAAAGCCGTTCCGACGGCCAAATAGCAGCAGCGGCAGCGGCTAGGAACTTCCGAGACTCGCGCCCCCAGGATGCGCCGAGTGTGGCAGAGCCCAGCGGGGGCGCGGGCAGCCGGGCCGGGGCGCTGCCACCTGCCCCGTCTCTGCTCACTGCTCCTGAGCGGCGCAAGCGGACGCGCCTGGGCTCCGGATGAAGCTCTCACTGCACGGGGCCGAGAACCTGCGCAAGCTCCGGGGCAGCTCAGCTCTCCCGACCGCTCACAGGCTGCTTCGCTGAGCCCTATAGAGGCCCCTGAAACGGCGCTGTGTCTGCGCCACGTCACCCATGACAGCCGCGGTCCGGGAGGTAAGCCCTTCCCAAGGCCACTCAGTAAACACACGGCGGAGTCGAGTCTCCAGCGAGGCTCTGACAGCGGGAGGCTCTCCCTGCACCCCGGGAGCACCCCACGCACACCCCAGACCCACCACATGCACAGGGACCCTGCACCCGCCCGCACACACGTGGGCAAGCAACGCCCTACACGCTGCCTGCCACGGCCACGCAAGGCGCCATGCCCACCAGCTCAGCGGGGTGCCGACGGGCCCTGGGCATGCAGGGGCTCGAGCCGGTGCTCCTGGGGCCGCCCACCCCAGCCCGGGGACTCCAGGAGGCCCAGGCTCTGCTTTCCAGCTCTGCCGCTGACACGACGTCTTCCCGGCAGCACGGTGGGACTGGCCATGGTGACAGCGCTGGCAGCACCGGCACGGCAAGCACCCGGCGCGTACTCCACATAAAGCACGTGACGTTGCCAAAAATTAAGCCAGCAGCTCCTAGCTGTCGCCCAGGGGGGAGGTGATATTGTTATTCCCACTTCACAGATGAGGGAACAGAAGCACAGAGAGGTTAAGAGACCTGCCCGGGGTCACACAGCCATCAAGCAGCTGACCTGGGAATCGAACCCAGATCATCTGGCCCGGGGAACAGGCTCCGTGATAAGCTAGAACCGGGCTGGACTGCAGGCGTGTGGCTCCTCCTGCGGCCCGAGTGGCCGGGCTTCAGGGCGCACGCATCACTCCCCCGCCCGGCCACCCACCGGCCGGCCCCTTATCAGGAGGTGCACTTCCTGCCTCCTCCCACGAAAGCCGCCGGGCAGCGCCTGGCAAGAGGCGACTTCCTCCTCCCGCCCGCGCCCACCTGCGCCTGCCCGCGCCCGGCCGCCCCTCCCGCCCCAGGGCCCGGACGCCGCCCCGGCTCACCAGCTCCACCTGGGGCCCCAGGCCCTCCAGAATGCGGTGTGCGGCCTCCGCCTTCTTCTGCAGCGCCCGGAGGGGAGGAGGAATGAAGAAAACAGAAAAAACACAGAACAGATTATAAATAGAGGCCCCCCGGAACGCGGGCACCTGCCCAGCCCGGCACACCGATCCACGGCCCGGGGGTGGGCGGGGGGCCGGGTCCCTCCCCAAGCCGTCCCCACGCTGGGAGAAGCCACAGAGGGGCCCGTACGCCGCGGCGGCCTGACGAGCCCGCCAAGTTTCGATTCTGACAGACACCGCGTCCCCGCTGCCCGGCTCCCCCGGGGCCCGCCCGTGCGGACCCAGCTCCCGGCAGCCCGGCGACACTGCCAGGCCCGAGATGCCTCCTGCGCCCTGGAAGCTGGTTGGGTCGTCTACGATTACCTCAGAGCTGGTGCAGCCGGCGGGGGAGGAGGAGGGAGGGCGAGGCGCTCAGAGACACCCTTTCTAGGATTCCTGCGTTTCACAATCATGTGATTATTTCTGGGCTGCCCCGGGGCCTCCCGCCTCCTCCCCACTCACAACCAGGGACTTATTAGGAAAACAGGAACATGTGGCAGAAAGGGCCCCGTGGCCGCCGATTCAACGGGCCGGACCTCAGCGCCCCCTGCCCCGGGCCCTCGGCCGTGAAGGCAGCCATTGTGCCTCGGCCAGGCCCTGCCAGCCCCCCGCCTGGGACCACCAGGGCCCGCTCAGAGGAGGCCTGGAAGGCGGCCCGGGTGCCCAGGGCGGGGGGCGGGGGGCAGGCAGGGGCAGCGCTTGGGCAGGATGGAGCCGACAGCCAGGCCGAAATGCGCGCACGCAGGTGGCGAGGCCCGTCCCTCCCGTGACGGCACTGCGCTGGGGGAGACCAGCACTTGGCAAGTCACCATCCTTATATGGAATCTGTCCCCAAAGGTCCTCAAATCCAGACGTGCTGAAAGGGGGTGACCCAGAGCCCTGGGCACTGTGGCTGCCCACGGAGTTCGAGGCGGCCCTCTCCAAGAGCCTCTTGCGAGGCCAAGGCCGGCCGGCTCCCGGCGGCACAGCCAGAGGAGGGTGTGAGGGCCAGGCACCTCCCCTCTCCCGGCCCCTGCAGAAAGACGGGGCTTGTGGGTGGGCTCAAGCTGGCACCTAGAACGACCTCCGCCTAGAGCCCAGGCCCAGCCCACCCGCGAGCAGAGCCATGCTCTCGGCCCCCTTCGTGCAGAGCCAAAACCCCAAGACCAGGAGCCTCGAGGTGTGGCTGAGGCCGGAACGTAAGGGGCAAATGCTTATCACCATGGTTAGCATTTTACGGAGCACCTACTACGCGCCAAGCACCGGGCACGCGGCATGCGTTATTAGAATTTAAATGACATGTAAGCATGAGGGAAGGCAGACACGAGTGTCCCCATTTTACAAAAGGGAAACTGAGGCATAGAAAGCTGACGTCAGGGAGAAGCCCTCTTCATGCCCTGCAAGCTCCAGGAAGGGAAACAGCCAAGGGCCAGGTCCCTCAAAGGGCCTCCTGGGCTCGGGACCAGCATGTCCGGCGCAGGGGGCAGGCACCACCCGGAGTCACCGCAGAGCGCTGCTGTCCCAGCCGCACCCTTGAAGCAGCGCAGTGCCCGCCACATGGCGCTGAAGATGGGAGAACCCCCAGCCAGGCCGAGTGGCGGAATGGGTAGGGGGCCAGGGACCACAGGACAGCCACCCCGACGTTTCCTGAGCACCTACTCCGTACTGAGCACTGAGGAGAGACGCAGAATGAATGAGACCCAGCCCCTGCCTGCAGTAAACCCCATCAGTTAGGCGGCTGGCCAAGAGCGGTAGCGGCAGACCAGTACGCTCAGGCAGAGAAAGGTACATGTGACGTACAGGGGAGGCACAAAGTAGGGAACGAGTCACTCCCCTGGAAAGGTAATAGGAGGGATATTTGAGCTGGGTTTCAAGGGGTGAATAGGAGTTGGTGTGTGTCATGAGGCTCTGTGGGGATCAGCAGCAACTGCCCATCTGGACAGAGGTGTGACACCACGCGGAGTGGGCAGGACTGGAGCAGCCGGGCCACTAGAAACTGCCTTGTCACACGGTTGGGCCTGGGTCTCAGATCTGGGCCAGAAGCCCACCGTGGGGGTCTCAAGAAGCGCGTCCTTGTTGTCACCTTGTGCTATGAGGAGGCGAGGACCGCCCGTCTGAACAAGGGGCTGGTCCCCCTGTGGAGGGCTGGGGTGTCCTGGCCCAGGCGCGGCTGCCTGCGCCAGGCGGAGCGGGCTAGTGGCGGCCGCTCCTCGCTGGGCGGCTGGCTGGAGCAGGCCCGGGCAGCGGCGTCAGCGAGGCCTGGCCCGTTTCTATTTGCAGAACAGCCGCTACCAGCTGACCCCGTGGGGGCCAGTGGGCAACGTCCTAGACTCCGCCGACGAGCAGCTGGCAGGACTGGCAGCCGACGGCCACACCCCCGCCCCCGGCGGCGCTGCACGCGGGCGCTGGCGGACAGCTTGGCCCAGGGCACCCCTTTCCACAGCGCCAGTTTGACAAGAACGTCTTCCAGCTGGAGCGGCCTCTGTCCTCGGCGCGGAGGTGTCCCAGCCAGCCTCAAGGAGACACCGTGGGCCCGGCCAAAAAGATCTTCCTCAAATGCTACACCCCCCGCCCCGTGCGGTGCGTGGCTGGCTCTTTGCGACGGATTAGCCGGCCCCGGGCCACGTCCTGCGCACACTCCAGGCTGGGCAGACTCCGCGGGACACATCCCCAGGCCTGGGAGGAGGACCCAAGGACCCCTGCTGGTGGGGCCCGGCCTGGGGGATTTGGAGGGAAGCTCTGGGATTCAAGTACTGTTTTCAGTCAACTTAATAAACTGATGAACCAGCCAAGAAGAAAAGAAAGCGGATTCCATCTTCGACGACACCCTCCCTGTCCTAGGAACAGGGGCACCTGCCGCCCCTGGGGGACCCGTCCTGACCCGCTGAGCCGCAGGGAGCCCCACGTCCTCGGCTCTCTGGAGCCTCCCCTCCCCCTCGCGCACCACGCCCAGCCGCCTGCTTGGTCCTGCCCACAGCAGGGAGGGGACTGACCTGCCCACAGGAGCTGGCGGGAGGTCCTGCCTTTCTCATCACATCTGTCCAACGTCTGGGAGGCAGCGCTGCCCTAACCCACCCCCAGCAAACCGCTCCTCCTGCCCGGCCTCAGTCTCCCCAGCTGCAAACTGGCCACACTCACCCAGGTTACTGACCTCCCAGGACTCTCGTGATATGCAAGCACACAGCGGCCTCAGATGCAGCCTGCACCAAACTCCCTCTCCCCTCCTCGCTGCCGGCTTCTTGCCACCCTGAGAACTGGATCCAAGCTCCTCGTCAGGGCCGCCAGGGTCTCACCCCTCACTAGCCCTCAGCCTCCACTGTCCCTCACTGCTCCCCACCGACCAAAAGCCTTCGTACCTATTGTTCCCCTGCCTGGAACGCTGTTCCCTGCATCTTCACACGCTTCTGTCCGTCCCTCGTTCGTGTCTCAGGACTCAGCCTCCCCTCCCCAGAGAGGCCTCCCTGATCCCCCAGGAGAGCGGCCCACCGCCCTCGGCCCCTATGACCCCACCTGGCTGTCCGCACAAAACATGCTGGGTCAGGAGTGGGGGCCCGTGTCCCGCCGTGCACCTCGCTGACTCCATGCGGCGCAGGGCACCGCGCTGCTCTCGGCCCTGTCCACGGCGCCTGGAACAGCACCTGGCACGGCGTGGGCGCTTGATAACGGTCTATGTGACCGGAAATGGGGGTGGTGGGCTGGCTCCCTGCCCAGGCCTCTCCTTGAGCAGGGCATTCTAGCCCAGGACATGTGTCCCCAGGCTCCTGGCACCCGCCCAGAGCCCGTCCTCTCTCGACCTTGCTGGAGGCTGGCCCGACGCCTCTCCCTGGCCCACCACTCAGCTGCCTCCATCCACGGGGCCCAGGTACGCCTGTCCCAGTAGAGGTGGGGGGTGGGCCCCCTCCCTGCTCTCTGGGCCACAAGCAGGATCACTAAGCCTCTCAGTGACCGCGCCCGGGCTCAATCACCGCACCACTCACAGGAGGAGAAACTGAGGCTCGGAGGACTCCTGGCCAGGAGGCGCCAGCCCACAAGTTCCAGGCAAAGCCCTGCCCCCTGGTACCTCTTCCCACCCCCGTATTTCCACGTTAATGTCTCTGTGTCCCCCACGCCCTCAAGGGTCGCTCCGGACACTGCCGCCCTGCAGGCCTGGCCCGGCACGCAGGAGCGCTCCCACGTAGCATCTGGCAGATCCATGGACATGTAAATCATAGATATGCATGGGTCCCACACACTCCAAGGCAACACATGCATACACATGTGTACCCAGGCAAACACACGATGTCACCACACACACCACCTCACACACGTCCATTTGTATACATACGCACACACTTTGCATGTATCCACGTGAACACAGGCATCCACAAACAGGTGCAGAGACGCACAAATAACCACGTGTGTGCCTCACGCATGCTAACTCACACGGGTGTGCATTCACACACGTGCACGCAGCGCCCACAGGTACACTCACACTCACATCCACGGATGTACAGATGCACGAATAACCACGGCCACACATGCTGACTCCTACACACTGACACACAGCCACGGAGAGATCCACCACGTACACGTGTGAACACATACTTGTGGTGAATAAATGTATAAATACTCACACATATCTCCCACACGAGCCAACTCACACAAGTATTCGCATACATGTGTGCGCAGCCATCCATGGGTCCACATGTGTGCTCACACATACACATATGTATCTAACATGTGTGCCATGCCACGCATGTGCCCACACATACACATATGTATCCGACATGTGTGCCACACACGTGCTCACATGCACGTGTACCCAAAACATGGACATGCACCACACATATGCACACATGTACACATAGTGCACAAATCCACATGCACATGCCACACACATGCACACACATGCACTCATGTACACACCACACACGGGCACATGTGTGCACACTCACACGTACACACCACACGTGCACACATGTGTGCACACTCACGCGTACACACCACACACATGTACGCATGTGTGCACGCTCACACACGTACACACCACACACATGTACACATGCACACACCCACATGCACACAGAGCCCTCCTCCAGGACAGAGGACCCAGAGCCCCACACTGACCGTTGCTGGCCTGTCCCCCGCCTGGGAGTCCCATGCTGGCCCTTCTCTGCCACTCCGGCTGGAGGGCCAGGCCTGCCCTCCCCAGCTGCAGGGTGGGGGCAGGACCCACCCACCCAGAGGCCCCAAGGTCCCGCCCCTGCACCCAAGCCCCTCTGCCAGTCGCTTCAGGGTTTCAGGGCAGCGGCCGACCCTGAGGCCCAGCTGCCGCGTGTGCACAGGGAGCCCGGCGCCCGCGAGCCGTCCGGAGCTCTCTCGGCTGTGACTCGGCAGCCCAGCGGGGCGGCAGGCCGGGCCTCCGGTGACAGGCTCATTCCCGCGTGTGCAAGGTGCCATCTGGAAGAAGCCCTGGACTCCGGGGGGTTCCGACGGCCAGGTGGCCGGGGTGGGGGCCGGCACAGGACGCCAGGGCCGCAGGACGGGGTCTGAACCGCTGCCCAGGAGGCCTCGAATCACAGCTCGGGGGTCCGAAGCTGGGCTTACGAACATGCACCGGGGCGCCGGGACCCTCAAACTGCTCTGCAACATGCTTCCTGCCTGCGCAGCCCGCTGATGGCACTGCTCGCGCTCGCCCTGCTCGGTCTCACCACACCGCGCACAAACTCGGGCCTCACCGCGACGCGTAAACGCTTTGCTTCACAGACACTTAACATCTAAGACAAGGGCTTCAGTCTGATGCTCTGATTTCCTTATTGCTTGGCGCGGGGGCCTCTGCTGCCATTGTTCCTGCCTCCTCACACCCTTGTCAACTTCACCAGAAACTGCCCCACCATACCCATGTTTTTCAGACCTAGCTCAAGGCTGCCTCCTCCATGAAGCCTACCTTGGTTGCTGCATGTTCACAGAGTCTCCCTGCCCTGAAAGCCTACAGTACCAGCAACCCACACTGCACAAATGGCCCCTTATTTAGACGTACCCTCCCCCGGGCCGCCTGGGTGTCTGTCCTACCCAAACTCCAAGTGTGAGCCTCTCCCAGCCCCTCACCCCGAGGCAGGCTTCCCACCTCACACTTGAAGATCAAAGGAGACCCTGGTCCCCTCTCTGGGTCTTTGCTCGTGCCGTGACCCTCACCCAGATGCCCCCCGCGTGGCCCACCCACTGCCGCCAAGGAGGCTTTCCCGCCGCCCCGCTTCCAGGTCGTGATCCGCCTCCTGCGCCCGGGCCCCCGCCCGTTCCGCTCCTGCTGCCGGGGCTGGCGCGGCTGTGCCTGCTGCCGCCATCTGTGTGCACCTGCCCGGCCCCCTCCCGCGCAGGCCGCTCCCGGAGGAGGGAAAAGCCTTGCTCAGCGGTGCCTCAGCCATGTGCTCTGAACGGATAATGAGCCCGAGTCCAGCACGCAGAGCAGCCAGGCGGGCCCTGCCCAGCGGGGGAGCCGCGCTCCGCGGCTGGCTCGCGTTCAGAGACAGACCCTCGTCCCCCACCTCTCCAGCAGCCAGCGGGGAAGGCAGGCGGATTAAAATTTAATCCTGCCGGTCCTCCACGGGGTGGGGAGCCCGGGCTGCTCCTGCCAAAGGCGGCCGAGGGGCCTCCTGCCCACCAGGCCGCCAGCTTCTAGGCTACGCCCAGGCGCCAGGCCCCCACCAGGCCCCACACCCTCAAACCAGAGGCCTCTTCCACGGGGAAGATCCGGCCCCTTGCCCTCCACCTCCCTCCTCTCCTGCCGTCTGAACATTTGTGCAACGGAGATTTAATGAGCACCTACTATGCGCCGGGCACTGTTCTAGGTGCTGGAGGATGGAGCGGGGGATTTCTAGCAGGCAGAGATTTTATTCCCCGCCCTCATGGAGCTTCCGTTCACCATAAACAGAGCAAATAAGTAAAGTGTGAATCACGTCCCAGGAGAACAAGGTCTAAGAAAACAACAGAAGCCAGGAAGGAGGAAAACAGGTGCCGAAAGGTTTTCAGGAATAAGTAGACGGTCGAATCGGGCCTTGCGGAGAGGGGAACATCTGAGCACAGAGCTGACGGCAGGGACAGAACAAGCTGTGCAGGGACAGGAGCTCTAGGCAGAGGCTAAGGGCCGCCCCCCCGGCCCCCACGGCTGCTGGAGAGAACCACACCTGCTCTCCCACCAGGGGTCAGGGACCCCAGCAGCCCTGCCCGTGCCCCCTCCACCACAGCCTCCTAGAGCCAGCTCAATCTCGGCTCTCAGTCCCGGCCTCCAAGCTCACTTGCTGTGCAGTCTCAGGCCGGTTACCCTCCCTCTCTGAGCCTTGGTTTCTTGACGAGCAAGATGGGGAGAGTGATAGCACCTACTTCATACAAATCTGCAAAGGATTAAGTAAGGTCACGCAAAATGTAAACAATAACAAGAAGAAACGAACAACAACTAAGACGATGACCACACAATGGCGCCAGCTGGCACGTCCTTGGTGCCAGGCATCGTCCTAAGGGCATCACGAAATGAACTCATTTAATCCCCACACCCACCGCACTAGGCAGACGCTACTGTTACCGTCGTTTTGCAGTCGGGAACATGAAGCGCAGGGAGGTTTGAGTAAAACACTCAGAGTCACACAGCCAGGGAGCGGGAGAGACAGGATTCGAACCCAGGATGTCTGGCTGAAGCGCGTGTGGACCCTCGCTCTCCAATCACTATGACTGTCACTAGTGTTATTTGGGGTGGGGGGCTGGGGCGTGGGAGGGTAACCCAAAAACACAGTTCCCAGGCGCTCGCTCTGCATCCTATTGCCATTTCTAGAGGCGGAGGAGTAGCCAAATCAGTTGAGCCAGTAGTTCCCTGCCCGGGGCTACTGCCACGGGCACCAACCACGTGCTCCCAGGCTCCAGAGCAGCCATCCTGGGCCCGGGGATACCAGAGGCCTCCCCACCCCCACCTCAACTCTGAACACTGATCTGGCAAAGGAAGACCTCACAGACGAGACAGCTGGGAAGGGTGGCTGGGCCCTGAGCAGGAGGGGACCAGAGAAGCCAAGGCAGGGAGGGGAGGTTCCCCATCTGTCACATTTTACTGTGCAACCTCAGACAATGACCAGCCCCTCTCTGGGCCTCGGTTTCCTCATCCATAAAATAGAGGAGGGGACTCAACATCCACAGGTCCCAAGGACGTTTGGAAAACGTCAGCTATAAATCATCAAAGCCCAGCCTGCTGTGGCTTGACTGGGATGACAGAGAGCTCACCACCTTGCCAGACACCAGCTTCTACCATGGGGCAGCACAGACCCTTGGGGTCCAGCCGCTGGGAACACTCTGCTCTGGGTGCCATGAGCCCCTCCACCAAGACCTCGCCCCCTCCAGGCACCCGGCAGCTGCCCCTCGCCGGGCCTCCAGTGCCCTCTTAGCCTGCCGCAAATCCTGTGTTTCAATCACCCCAAAGACCCATCCAGGGCCAGGTGTCGGTGGAAGCCAAGCTGAAGAGTCAGGCCCCACTGTCTGACGGCCCACCGGTTCAAATCCCAGGTCTGCCACTTCCCAGCTGTGTGACTTTGGACAAGTGACTTAACCTCTCTGGGCCTCCGTTTCCCCACAAGTAAAATGGAAACAGCTGCTGCCCCTACTCTCCCGGGCCTGCCAGTAAAGGACTGCCAGGGGGAGCTGTTCCGTGAACCTTAGCTGTTATTTGTAATGATGCTGCTGTCTCTGGCATCACAGGGATTTCTTCTGCGTGGGTGGCGGAGGAAGTGACCGTCCCTTCCCAATGTCAACTGGCCCTGCTGCTCTGCCAGAGGCGACGCCTGTGTTTTCACGCTGCAGCCCCCAGGCCAGCCACGGCCCGCCCCAGCCGTGCGTCTGAGCAGAGCTGCCCAGAAGCCGGGCCAGGCGGGGTTTCCACTGGCTACACCCCCCCACCCACTCACACCCGGGTCCCTGCGGGGGAGGGGGGCCGACATGGGAACATCGGGGCCCGGGGGAGGGAGCCGGACGCGTCGAGGTGACCCCCACGTCGCACCTGGCAGCCAGCAGAGAGGAGGGGATGGTGGAGCAGGAGTGGCCCGCTGGGGCGGGGCGGAGACATACCCGGTTCTCGTCGTAGATGATCTGCACTAGGCTGCGGTGCTTCGACTCGATGGGCGGCGGCGACACGGGCTTCTCGGGCTCGGGCGGCTTGGCGGCCTCCTCCTCCAGCTGTTGCTGCGGGAAGGGGCAGGGCGTGAGGGTGAGCGCGCCGGCGGGCGGAAGGAGGGAGGCAGCCCCCGCGGCAGGGCGGCCCCCTTGCAGCCCGGGCTGGCGGCAGCGCACAGGAAGTCAGGCTGCTAACCATTTCCTCTGAGTCACCCCCAGGGACTTCGAGCCCTGGAGTGGCGCCAGCTCCCTGGGGCCAGCGGCAGCCTCCAAGCTCTGGAGCCAGGTTCGAATCCTGCCTCAGGGACTTCCCGGCTCGGGGAGCATAAGCAAGCAGCTCAAGCCTGCTGGGCCTCAGTTTCCTCGTCTGTAAAATGGGGCTAATCCCGGTGCCTCCTTCATTGGGCTGTGGTGAGGACCGAACGAGCTGACGCGCATTCAGCACAGCTGGGCTTGCCAAAAGCCAGCCGTCGTGACCGTCCCGATTCCTCCAAGTGCCACTGGCACCAGGAGAGGCTGTGCAGACTCTAGAGCCACACTGTCCAGGCTGGAACACGACTTCTCCTCGCTGTGCAGCCTTGAGAAGTTGCTGAACTTCTCTGAGCCTGATTGTCCTCATCTGGAAAATGGGGGTCGCGAACGTTACTCCAGAGAGCCGGTGCAGGGGTGAAACGAGCTGGCGCGTGCAAGCACCCAGCGCGCAGCGAGCACCCACCGACCAAGCCTTCCGTCATCACTACAGTCGTCGGTGTCATCTGTCCTGCGGTCTACACACCGCACCCCCTCCTCCAAACGCCCCCGTAAAAGGAAGCCCGTCACGCTGCCGTCTGCTTCATACCAAAGAGGGAAGCGAGAAACCAGAGAGCTTATGACACTGGCCCAAGGCCACACAGGAGGCCAGTGCCCAGGTCTGCAATCCAACAGGGCGCGGTGAGTGAGCTGAGAACACAGCTCTGGTCTACTCGCCATGCTCACCCAGCCTGCGCCCGACCTCGGAGCAGGCCGTTACGAACCCTAAAAGGCAGCCAAGAAGAAGTCAGCCTAGAAAGAGCCAGAAAGTCCGGGTCCCCTGGCTTCCGCCCGCCCTGGGGCTTGAGCAGGGCTGCCTCAGGCCCACAGTGACCCCTGGTGGTAGCTTCAAAAAAGGGCATCGAAACGCCCCCGAAAGTGCAAAACACACAAAACCGAGAAATAGCAGGGCACAGCCAGAGCGGGCGGAGGGAGATTCTACGCAGTCAGGGGAGGCGCCTTCCCTCCGAGACCGGAGAAAAATGCTACCTGAGACACACACAGACACCCGGGTGGGAAGGCAACTCAACTCCACCAGGCCTGGATGCAAACCTTTGCTCCACGATCACCAGCCCTGCGGCCCTGACACGTCACTTGCCCTCTCTGACCCTCAGTGTCTTCTTCGTTGAAATCCGGGAGCACAGTGCCTACTTTGCAAGGCTGTTCGGAGGACGGAAGGAGACAATGCAGGAACAGTGCTGCTGTGTAGCAGGGACTTGAACCGTGGCTATCTAATCTCTAACGCAGATCAAAACCACCACGAGCTGCCGCTGCACAACCACTAGGACAGCAAGCGTCAAAAACACTTTTTTTTAAAAAAGGAAAATAAAACGTGTTTGCGAGGATGTGGAAAAACTGGAACCCTCTTACGTTGCTGGAAGGAATGCGAAATGGTGCAATCGCTGTGGAAAACAGCCTGGAAATTCCTCAATAAATTAAACCTAGAGTTAGCGAAAGACCCGCAGTCCCATCCCGGGAATACCCAGAAGAATTGGAAACAGGTGTTTGAAGGAAAACTTGACCGCGAACGTTCAGAACAGCGTCATTCCCAGCGACCAAAAGGCGGAAACGGCCCGAACGCCCATCGACACGTGACTGAATCACACGTGGCCTCTCCGCCCACGGGGACGGCGTTCAGCCGAAGGACCGGGACAAAATGCAACACAGACGAACCGTGAAAACACGACGTAAGTGAGAGAAGCAGGCAGGACAGGACAAACGTGCGATTCCGTGCCCGGGAAACGCCCGGAAGAGGTGAATCCACAGACGCAGAAAGAGACTGGTGGCCGGGGGAGGGTTTCCTCTCGGGGTGACGAAAACTAGACAAAGGTGACAGTTGCACAAAACTGTGGGTGTACTCAGTGCCGCTGGATCCCCTCAAAAATGATGGTGTTCAGGAATTTTACTTCCAAAAAAAAATGCGAAAGTGGAATTTAGGGATAAAAAATAAAAACCTGACTACTGAAGGCTGCTCTGAGCACCTGGCTTCCGGCCACAGTCACGCATGTGTGCATGTGACCTGCGGCGTCAGCCTCGCCCCAAGGCCGGGGCTGGAGGACCTAAAGGTGCGGGTCCTGCTCCGCCTGGGCAGTGCCTGCCTGACCCCAACCGGGGCCTGGCCTCTCTGCTGGGAGAGGGGAGAGGAAATCATGGAAACCCACCTCTTGCCTGCTGGGGTCGGGGACAACTGCTGGACGGTCCCCAAATCCCAGCTCCTCCATCCAAGTGACAGCCCTGATGCCCCCCTGAAACAATGTCCTCCCCTCGCCCCCGTACATCCTTCAAAACCCAGCTCACAGGCACCTTTCCAGGGAGCCGTCCTCATCAGCCTTCACCCTGCTGCCCGCGGTGGCTGGGAGGAGCCCTTGATCCTTCGCGGGGCCCAGGCCTCCTTGTCTGGAGGACGCCAGGTGTGAATCTGCTTCCTCCACTGGCCCAGACGCTCCCCAAGGTCAAGACGGTGTCACACTGACTGAGCAACAGTTTTTACTGAGCACCTACTATGTCCTCAGAACAGGTGGGAACATGGCAGTCCAGGCAGACAAGGACCCTGTTCTGTGACACAGTGCAGTGGGGAGACCACACTGTGTGACAAAGCAGGATACACACTGACCAAGTGGTGACGCCACCACCCGGGTGATGGGACAGATCGGAGGTGTGCAAAGTTTTTCTGTGACGGCCCAGAAAGCAAACACTTTTGGCTCTGCAAGCCACACGGGTCTCAGCTGTGACGACCTGACTCTGCCGCTGTAGCACGAAAGCAGCCATGCACATACGCACACAGAGACACGCAACAGACGGGCGTGTCCGTGTGCCAATAAAACTTTATTTACAAAAACCGGCAGCAAGCCTGAGTTGGCTGGACCAGCTGAGCCCTGGGAAGGAGGACGGCTGGGGCCAAGGCTTCCTGCAAGCGGCCAGGGGCGGCCTCTCCGTGCAGGGGACATCTGCGCAGAGACCTGAATGATGCCAGGGAGGGAACCACAGAAGAGCTGGGAAAAGGCAGATTATCGAGTGATCTTATAGTAAATAATATTTTAGATAAACTTATAAAATTACTATCATAAACACGTCCACCTTTTCTTCACACGACGGTGTGTGGTTTCAACAGTGACGATGAGAATTTATTTCCAATCGCGTGATCTCGTTCCCCCGCAGGACCCCATGAAGCGCTGCTACACCTGCGCCCACGTCACAGACAAGGAAACTGAGGCCGAGAGAGGCGAAGGTTCCCAGGCCACACGCGAGGGAGGCCCGGCCCGTTCCGATTCCAGAGCCAGGTGGTATCTGCCCGCGTGGTGGACGAGGGAAGCGGGAGGCACGGAGAGGTCACTGCCACCCCCGCCTCGCCGGGAAGCGGCAGAGACACGGCCTGACCCTGCTCGGCCGGCTGCAAACCCTGCTGTCGCCCGCCACACCTGTGCCGTCGGCTGCGGCCATTCGTGCGCAAAGTTAATTAACTGAAACTAAATTGAAAACTCAGTTCCTTGGTCCCACTAAGGACATCTCGAATCCCCCACAGGCACACGTTGCTGCTGCGGGTACAGGACGTCTCTGTCGCCGCAGAAAGTTCTAGAGGATGGCGCTGCACCTACGATACTCTCGTGTGATAAACGTAAAGGGCGTGCGAACAAGCCCGTCTCGGGACTCCGGGAAGCACGTGGCCGCGATGACCAGCGCCATCCTCGCCGCCACCCCCGTTCGCCACGCCGCCCACCTGCTTCTTCTTCAGCTTGGAGATCTGCTGCTCCACCATGGTGATCTCGCGGTCCACGCGGTCCATGTTCTGGATCAGCTCCTCCTTGGACAGCCGCGGAGGCACCAGCTCCAGCTCGGCGTCCGTGTGCGGGGGGCTCGGCGGGGACACGGGTTCCAGCTTGCCCGTCAGGCTCCGGTCCTGCCGCGGAGAAGAGGGCGGGTCAGGGGGAGGCGCCCCCAGTCTGCAACCCTCCGACACACCCCAGTTTCCCGCCCTGACTTCAGGCCCAGGATGTCACACGTCGGTCACGGGGATGTTCACAGATCCCCCTCCGCCTTTGCCCTCGCGGGTCCCCCGCCGGGCGCACCCTTCCCGGCCCCCCGCCCGCTCCGCAGAGCTCAGACGCCCTCACGTCGTCCCTCGAGACGCGGTTCCAACTCTCCTGCATGCACGCACCTCTCTCCCTCCACTCACCCGTCCGGGTCCTCCCACCGGCCCCAGGGACCAAGACCCCAGCCTCTGTCCCCGAGGGTTCGTGGTGCTCAGTGCAAACAAGCAAGACCCGGGGCCTTGCAGCCGGCTCGTGCCGGCTCTGTGGGTGACACGCGTGTGCACACGCACAGAGAGACCACCAGAATGTGGCTCTCCCACTCTGAAAAGTTAAAAGGGGTTATCCGGGCAGCGGGGGAAGAAAGGGGTATGTTTACTGTCTTCTCTTTATTCACCAGTACTTTTCCTTCCTTGAGGGTGACTCTTCGTGTAACAAAGTTGTTTCTGAGCACGCAAAGGGACCCTGCGTCCCACTCACTCCAGCCTGCCGCAGCTCTCTGGGGACACGGAGGCCAAACCAACCCCGTCCTCACTGTGCAACCCTGGGATCACATGCCGGACCCCCCGCCGCCCCCGCACCATGAGCTCGGGCAGATCACTCAGCTGCTCCCTGCCTCAGTTGCCCCAGCTGCACAGCGCAAAGAGTAACGGGTCGTGCCTCCCAGGTGCTTGTGGATCCTGAATGAGCTAAGTGTGCAGGGAGCTCAGCCCAGAGCCTGGCATACTGTAAGCGCTTAATAAGCGCTGGCTGGGGCGGCCCTACCCCAGACCCGCTCCAGGCCTGGCAGTGCAGGCGGAAGCCAGCCCCCGCCCCTGCCAGCCTCAGGGCCCAGCCAGCAGCTGTTGGCAGACCTGGCCCCGGAGCAGCGCCAGGCCGCCACCGCCTCCCCGCCCCCACGGCAGCTGCACCCAGAGGACACAGGACACATTCTTCCCCGGACAACTGCAGCCCAGGGCCACCGAGTGCCCCGCCCCACCTCAGGACTGCCAGAGGCCACGTCATCTTCTGTTCACGGCCCCGCCCTCAGAGTCTCTGTCCTCTCCTCCCCCCGCAGCCCCAGCAAGGCCCACCAGGCCTTGGGATCCCACCAGGCTTGCCCGGCCTCTAAGCCAGAGGCCAGCGCGCTGCTCAGTGAAGGGCCAGGTGGTAAAAAGACATCAGGCTTTGAGGGCCAGGAGGGCCATCCTGCCACCCTGCTTAGGGCAGAGAACTCATTACGCACGGACGTGGCTGGTGCCAATAAAATTGTGTGCACAAAAACGGGCTGAGGGCCAGATCTGGAGCTTGCAGCGTCCGCTGGCCTCTCCTCTGAGCAATTCGTAAGCCTCAATTCACGTAACTGTCACAACCACCACAGAACAGTGTTTTCTCCACACTCCAGACGAGGAAACTGAGGCCCAAAGCCACCCAGCCACAGAGTGATGGCCCCTTAGCTTGGAGGGGTGTGTGGGGACTGGCAGGGGCTTCCACAGCAAAAATGGGGTCCCAGCCACACATCTGCTCACTGCATGGAGCCGTGTGGCCGAGCAGAGCACCAAACAGTGTCCAGGACGCCCTCAAGTTAGAGGTGGATCCGCGTGAAAATCCCCCAGAAAAACACTCCGGGGCCTGCCCGTGCGTCGGCGGGGGCGGGGCCCTCACTGCTCCCCAGCAGCAGGGCAGGCGGGGCCGCGGGCCCGACCCCACACACGCGAACATAAGCAGCTCACGCACCCTCGAGCCTTTACCCAGAGTGCCCGACGCCACTTCTGTGCCAGACGACGTCAGACTCACCTCCCAACACCACCAGCCCAGCCCCCGACTGAGGTCCGCCTCCCCTCCCCCAACTCCGTGTCCCCCGGCACTTGTCTGGTCTCCCCTGCGGCCTCAACCATTTCTCGGGGTTCTTGAGACAGAAGTTAGCAGCAAGGCCCGTTGCGGTGGCTCACGCCTATCATCCTAGCACCGGGAGAGGCTGAGGCAGGAGGATGGCTGGAGCCCAGGAGTTTGAGGCCGCAGTGAGCTATGATGATGCCACCGCACTCCAGCCCCGCAGCAGAGCGAGAACTTGCCTCAAAGGTGGCTGCGAATGTGGTTCCCAGCGCCTGACGCCTCACTGCTGCAGGGAACGTCCCCTCCGCCCTCCCTGTGCTTTCGCCCAGATGGAGACGGGAGACCACAGAGCAGGAACGGGGATGTGGAGGGAAGGCTCTGGGGCCAGGCCACCCCAGGACAGTGAGAGCAAACTCTTCATCCCACCCAGAATCATTCTCAAAAGCGACACGAACAAGAAGCAGCTTTCCAGCCACAGGGCCGGCAGAACGGCACCAGGCCTGGCAGAAGCACCCGCTGGGTGGGGGACTGCGGCCCTCTGATCCCAAGATTGTCCTCTGTTCAGCACCAAAGGAGGCAAGAAAAGCTTCACCTTTCTCTGCTGCAGCCCTTTTAGTAACGGGATTTGTTCTGTAAAATTTGGATTCAGTCAAAAGGCCACACTTAAGGACCTAGAGGGCCACCTGCGGCCGTCAGGACTGGGAACTGCCGGAAAAGTCCCCGGAAGCTCATTTCCCTTAAGATTCTCGACGCTCTTCCTTAAGGCTCGGGCTGAGCTCTTACGCTGGTGACACTGAACGCGTCGCTCCAGCAGCTGCTGACAGACACGGACGCGAGGCGTGTCCGTGCAACGGAATGTTACTTGCCCACAAAAAGGCACGAGGCCGGACCCCCCACAGCACGGACGAGCCCCGAGAACGTGCTGCTGAGTGCGGGCCGCCAGGCACGGGAGGCCGCAGTGCCGCACGGGCCACTCGCCATGAAATCTGCCTCCAGGACAGGCGAAGCCGCAGACGGAAACAGACTAGCGGCTGCCGGCAAGTGGGGGGAGCGGAAACGGGGAGTGGCTGATGGGTGGGTCTGGGGTCTCCTTGTGGGTGCTGAGAACATTCTGGAGCTAGGTGGAGGAGACGCTTGCGCAAGGCTGTACACGTGCTACACACCGACGAACCGCTCACTCTCACATGGCTGCTTTTACGTGACCCTCACCCCAGCTTAAAGGAAGAGGAGTAGCCGGGTGGCAGGGAGCCCTGTCCCTGGTGCTGAGTCCCCAGGGCCTGGCATCTGGCCCTGCACACAGCTCTCCTGATGACGGCTCACCTTCGAGTCAGCCCAAGCCCAGGGGAGGAAAACAATAAACCAGCACACCCACCCCCCAGCAGGCAGCCAGGCAGCAGCTAGAGCCATTTCCCCATCAGACGCCCCTGGTGTCGAACTTCAAGCCAACGCTGAAAAGTTTATTGTGCCGAATTAAAGACAGAGAGGCAGCAAAGGCCCCAGGGACTGGAAGGCAGCCCCTAAAGCTTCCCCATCCCAGCTCCAAGAAGGAGCAAGGCCCAGAGTCACACACTCACAGTCTACCCTCCTACTCTGGCCACAGTGACAGGTTCCAGGATGGGCACAGCCCACTCAAGGGTAAGGAGAAAAGCACTTTGGAGCTAGAAATGTGGGGAGAAAGGAGAGTTCTCACTTTTTACTAAACTTCAAACTGGAAGAAGAAAGGCCTATAGTCACAAGTCACCTTCTATTAACATACAAGACCATGCGAAAGCTGGCAGAGCCAAGAGATGCAAAGAGACAGGGTCTTGGTGACATTATGTCACCTGAATCAAGCCGTACCTGAAGCCAACAAACCCTGGACTTCAGTGACGTGAGCCAGGATTCATGCTTAAGTTTTAGAGGGGTGGTGTCTGTCCCTTTCAGCCAACAGAGCTCCAAGAGCCCCAAGGGACTTTCAGGTGCTGTTTGTGACAATTCTGAAGTCTCCTAAAACAAAAGTTTGGCGAATTCCTGAAAGAGTTTCTGATGCCATAGGACTCCAGAAGCTTAAAGGCAGGAAAGAATTATAAAAACAGAGCATTTTTACATGAAAAAGGAACACAGTGGGGTGGAAGGAACACACAAAAAAACCATCAAATTCCTGTCTCATGCACGCAGCTGAATTCCAGGCGGCAGACGCAGAAAACATCTGAACACGTTCAGAGCTGTGTTCTCCCGGGCGGCTTCCCTTGCTCAGACGTCCCAAATGCTCTTCACAGCCTGGAGCAATTACAGCAGTCGGTCCAGCCAGGCCCCGGACCGTCTGCTACTCCCGCCCCTGCCCCCCGCCACGGTCCAGGAAGGGAGGGAGAGAGATACACAGAGACAGAGAGATGACAGAGACACAAAGAAAAAGAGAGACAGAGACAGACAGACACAGACACCCAGAGAGACACACAGGCAGAGAGGGAGCCCCAGGAAGGACGGGGAAGGCAGCCCAGTCACAGAGCCACCGTGAGGGACGGAGACCCTGCTGGAAGAACCCACAGGAGAGGCCAGTAGGCGGGTAGCAGACACCTGCTGCGGGGCTCCGGGACACCCCTAGAAGCTGTTCTCTGGGCAGAGCCGGCCTGAGTGTCTGGGGCTGGGTCCCCCTGGGAGGCGCGGAGCTCCCGGGCACAACCCCCAGACCTGCTGTCCTCCCAGGCACCTTCAAGGGAGCCGTTCAAACGCAGGCAGAGCTAAAACTCCCTCCTGCCTTCTACAAAGAGAGGGGGTATGGGGGGCGGAGGAGGAAGCAGACTCCGGGTGCGAAGAGAGCAGAGGGAGGAGGGGGAGGGCGGCCCCCTCAGGCAGCCCAGAGGGGACCCAGCTGCTGTGGCTTCAATCCCACCCCCACTCCCAGCTGGCCCAGCCGGGGGCCCTGGACAAGGCAGGATCGCAGATCCAGAGTGACACTTACTGGGCCTGGCACCTAGCACACGTGAGCGCTCACTTGGTGTTTGCTGTTGTCATCTTTATTGCCACCATGTGAGTGCCTCCCCCACGCTAGCCTCCTAGTAAAGGGCCCGCCTCAGCCTGAAATTACACCATTCCATCCCACCCAGTGGTGTCAGGCAGAGAAGAAGACCCAGCAGGCCTAAGTGGGCCACTTCCCACTCCCCTCCCCTGGCTGGACTCCCAGTCCCTGCCCCACCCCCACTGGCACTGCAGTAAGATGATCCAGGACAAGCTCCCCAGGGGCTGGGTGGCCTATGAATGAGCCTGTGTGTGTCGCCGACCACGGAGGGCGGGGCAGTGTCACACCGCCTGGCCACAGTCCCCACCCCAGCCGGGATGTCAGATACAGTTTCTGAGGCAGCTAGGGGACCACGGGGGACAGAAGCCACTGCCTACAGTTCCGCCATCAGCCCTGCGGTCAACTTCCCCTGTGTAAAACGGACACAAAACAAGCTCCCGGCCTAGACTGTCCTGAGGTTTACTGAAATAGAAAATCCCACAGATGCAAACCATAGGCGCTCAATCTCTGTATATTCTCCCCCCCCCACCCGGGTTCGTCCCCCTTTTTTTTTTAAGGGGGGAAGGTTCTTTTGGGCCGGGGGCGGGGCCGGTTCTTGGGGTTCGGGGGGCCCGGGCGTTGCGGCGGCGGGGGGTTCGGGGTGGTTCCCCCAGGCTTGCCCCGGGGGCCAGGGCCCCGGCGGCCTTGGGGGTTCGGGGCACCTGCGAGCCACACGGCACCATGCCCCGTCCCCTGCCCTGCCCCGTGACGCGGGGATGTGGGAATTGGCACGGCCAGGTCCCCAGATGCCACCAGCACGCGGATACGCAAGGGCAGCCTCATCCACAGGTGGCACCTACTGGCAACACCCCGACGCCAAGGTCCTGGGGCCCCGGGTCTCCGGGAAGAAGGCGGCGCCCAGCAAGGCCCCGGCCTGCGTCCTGGGCACGAGCAGCTCCGTCGACACATCCACGCATGAGGTCACAGCAGCCACCACCTGCCACCCACGACGGGGCCGTTACCACAGCTGGATGAGCCATCGTGCTGCAGAGAGCCTACTCCGAGATGGCAGGGACGTCCCAGTACGAGACAGCGTCCCCAGCCCCAGGCAGTATGTCCTCACGGGCACGCAGGCTGGGCGGCCCAGGCACCCGTGGCTGGTGGGCCCTGAGGGTGAGCAGCGGACGGAGGATGCAGAACAGGCCGCCCCTTGCGGCCACCGAGAGCTGGCGCACCTGCTCCGCGCGGTCGGGGAGCCCTGAGCCAGGTGACGGTTCTCCATGGGGGCTCCTGCCATCGGGCCTTAGGGCTCTCAGCCTTTCTCCTGGACAGGCCAGGCGGAAACTGCCCCTGTCTCTCCCTCCTGGAATCTGCCTTCCTCCAGCTGGTCCTGGGCTAGGCAGGGCGCCCAAGAAACTGGGTGCACAGGTGTGTTTGTGTGGGGAGAACTGAGGTGGGGGCAGCCTTGGGATCGCCAAGATGGTGGGGGCAGCCAGGTCGCTCAAGACACCTGACATGGGGGCAACTGTGAGCCCCCCACCCCAGGAGCAGGAGGAAGAAGGACGTGTCCACCAGCGCCCCCCACCCCCTCCCTCCCCGCTGTCGACCTGGATGGTCCAAATCTGTTTGTAATTAAACCTGAGAACGACCACAACAACCACCCAACAATAACCAAAAACTCGGAGTAAAATCAAAGGGCCCTCCAGGCGTGGGAGGTGCGGCAGGCCCCAAAGGCTGGACACACGGGTGGGAGGTGACTCTCTCCCGCCAAGAACCCCCGCTGGCCGGGCACCCCCGGGCTCCCTCCTCCACAGCTGAGAGCTCCCACACGGGCCGACGTAGCCACAGCCCACAGGACCCAGGACTCCGGTGAGTGTGGTGAGCAGGACGAGGCTGAGCCAGGGGGTCCCAACACCCCACCAGACGGTAGCACTCTGCCCGGGCCTGCATCTGCCCCACCCTCCTCCCCTCCCTCACCCCAGCCACCAGGGCCACATGCCACCTCCCTCCTCAGGGCCTTTGCACTTGCCATTCCTGCCACCTGGAACATCTTCCTCAGTTCTTCTCACCCTCGGGCACCTCCAGAGAGACACCTGGTCCCTGCCCTGCTCTTGCTGCAGTCCCCGTGCTGGGTCCCACCTCCCGGCCTTTGCCCAAGCCCTGCATGTCACCCTCCCTCTACGAGCCCAAGAGCAGCAGGACCAAAGCCAGCAGAGCAGCCCTGGCTGGAGGCCCGGCCTTACCTTGGGGAGGTCCTCGGACCCGCCAGGCTGGCCCGTGGCCAGCAGCGGGGACGGCCGCAGCAGGGGGTCCGGCAGCAGCTCCAGCCGGGGTCGCTTGCTCTCGATGAACTCCATCTCCGCCTTGCCCAGCTCAGGCAGGTACGCGTGGGACTCGGGTCGCAGGTGGAGCTCCTGGGACCTGCGGGAGGCAAGGGCGGCGGCGTCACACGGGGCGCGGGGGCTCCAAGACCTACTGTGCGCCCTGCGCCGCGTGGTCTGCGAGGAAGGCACGCGCAGCAGCCCGCCCTCCGAGGCCACGGCCGGGCAGGACTCAAGCGCAGCGGGGTCGACACTCACCGTGGCCACGTTTACAGGTGTGGACGCCGGAGCACCCGCGGTGACAGCCCACGACCCTGCCACTCAGGGCCACATCGTCCCCGCTTGGAGCTGGCCAGGCGTGCAGACCCTCCAGCCCCCACCCCAGACCCACCGAACGCGACTCCCGCCCCACCTGCGGGTCACCCCCCTGCCTGGCCACACACCACGGAGGCCACTGAAGGTCCCTCTGACAATCAGGGACCATGTGGCTCTTCCACGCTCGTCCCTATCCTTGCCCCGAGTCACGGCCGCACCAGGTCAAGGGCGAACGGCCCCTCGTTGACCGCCAACCCCGGAAGCGCCCGCTCCTCCGCGCCCTGGACCAGGAGGCGCGCCCTCCTCACCGTTCGTTCCCAGGCTGGAACTCGGACAGCAGGGACGGCCTCCTCCTCTGGGGCTGGATGATGGAGCCGGGTGACAGGTGGGAGGCGTAGTCGCGGGGGTGGTGCTGGTACTCGAGCAGCCCGACGTCCTGCAGGAGGGGACAGAGGAGCAAGTGAGCACAATGGGCCCCCTTGACAGTCACGGCACAGGGGCAGGGCCATGTGCTTCCTGCCCAGGGCTCTAGACATGCCCACGTCCCCAAGGGAACCCCTGGGCCCCGTCTGGTCAGAGGCCGCTCCTGGGGCCGAGCCGAGGAGGAGAAGTAACACAGGCTGCCAAACAGGCACTCTGGCGGGCACTGTCCCTCCCACGCACAGCCCCCCGGGCACCCACGGTCACACCCACTTTCCAGATGAGACAACGGAGCCTGGGAGGGCTTACAGGGCCCGTCCACGGCCCCAGGCTGGGACCGTCTGCCTGCGAAACCCGTCCCCACCCACTGCGTCCACCTGTTGCAGAGGAAGGGGCCGTTTACAGGGGAGAGGGCTGCCCCCGCGTCCCCACCGTCCCCCTGCCCCTGCCGCACTGGTGACACGGGAAGGAGAGTGGGTCCCTCCGGCCTCCGGCTCGCGGAGTTCAAGCCGGGACACGCAGCACATGAGCCCAGACTACGGAGGCAGGGGGTGGGGGCAGCGTTGTTTGTAAAAACAGACACGTGTGAGCAGATGAAACTGGAAAAGAGGCACAGCCTAACCCCCCCCTCGAAGCGTGAGTAAACAAGGCGTCCACGCGAGAGGGGCTCAGGCGTCACTCGCCAGGGAGGGAGGGACCTCAGCAATTGCCCACGGTCTGCAGAGCTCGAAGGCCGGGCTTCAAAGCAAGGCATCCACTCGGGAGCCCACCCCGCCCTGTGCCGCAAGTAAGGCACGTGTCAAAGCACGACGGCTGAGCCTCAGGCGACACCCCCTTCTTTGATAAAATGCCCCGTTTTTAAGGGCGCCGTCCTCGACCAACCTTGAGCCAGGCTCCTCTGAGCCGCCCTCTCCACTAGGCCTCGGCCTTGTGGGGCCCTGCAGACCCCGGCGGCAGCGAGAACCCCGCTAAATCGGGCTGGAGAGAGACCCCCAGCCTCGGTGGCCGCTCTCGGTCACTTCCCGCGCACGGACCCCGCCCCTGCACGGCGGCTGTGAAGCCCCGGCCGTGTCTGCTGCCTTCGGAGCTGGGCCCGACCCGGCTCCCGCACAGCTCCTGCCACGGACCACGGCGTCCCGGACACGGTCTGCCGTACGGTTGTAGCAAGCGTCAGGATGACTTCTTCATTAACGCGTTATCTATTATTGTCGGGAAAAACTCAACATTAACAAATCAGATGTACCCCGACTGCCAAGGACACCTGGATTTCAGAAACGTTAAAATGTTAAAAAAAGAAAAAAAGGCAGTAACGAGCCTCTCAGACAAGAAAACCAGCCAGGCTTCACTCACGTGCCAAGCCCAATCGATTAGTTCTGCCTGCCTGGAACACTCAGCCAGACTGTGTGTGGCCATCAGTTAGTGATGTCTGACGCGGGCGAGGCCTGGGAGAGAGGGGATTGCAGGTGACTCCGTTTCTTCTTGGCACCTCTTCGTTTGCCCAGTTTTCTATAAAAGTCTAGTCATTCTTTTGTTGCCTGGCTTTTTTTTTAAGCAGTTATTTTTGCAGAGAGCATCGGAGACGACAGCAGGTGCGCTGGAGTAACTGTCTCAGACCCTACGAAACAAACACCTAGAGCCCGGGAGCCCAGAGGGGGACGAGTCACTGGAATTCGCGGGGAGCCCAGCAACCTCGGAAGCTGGGGAAGGTGAGGAAAGGACCTCCCGGGGCAGCCCAACGCAGAAGCAAGTAGCTGCCAGGCCTCAGGCTGGGGTTATGGTCTGGCCTGGTACTCAAACCCTCCGGGCCTCAGTTTCCCCCCACTCCCATCTTTGACGTGGGTGCCTGGCCCAGACGCAGTGAGGCCTCCGCACGTCCCACCACTCGTGGCCCTCAGCTCTCTGCGGGTTTCCCCCAGAGCTGACGGCAGCCCGCAGAGACAGAGAGGGCCGGCTCCTCCCGCATCCCGCGGTGTCTGGCGCGAGACGCCAGGTGCTCGCACACGAGGAGGAGGAGGGGGAGGAGATGGGGCTGAGGGGCGCGCGGAGGAGGCCTCCGGGCTGAGGCTGCCAGGCGGGGATCGCGCGCACACAGAGGTGTGAGAGGAAATCAGCAGGCCGCGCAGTCTGCCAAGAGGAAGATTCTCTCCGCCGGCTTTCTCCCGCACAAAAGCAAAATGAGCAAAGAGGCAGACGGTCCAATCCCTCGGGAGAGGCCCCGGCAAGATGGCGCCACAGCTGCCAACAGAGGCAGGAAGAGGCGAGAGGCAGCACGTGGCCCCGGGGCAGGGGCTTGGGAGGTCACACACGGACTCCTGGGCCACAGTGTCCCGGTTTAGGAGATCATCCAAGGAGCACCTGGGCGGCCGTTTCTGCAGGTGTCTACACTGGTCTCCACTCCATGGCTTGAAGCAGGTCTCCGGGGCTGAGCCCAGGGACCCCCCACCCAAGGGCAAGAATTGAGGAGACCCCGAGAAAGAAACTGACCCACAGTGGTCCCACGAGCCTGAACACACCCAGGCTGGGACCTCCCCAAGTGATAACAACAACATTAATGATGCTAACAATAACAACAATAATAATAATATCCAACATTCATAAATTGCCTACTGTGTACACCTGCAGCTAAATGCTTTAAATATGTTTACCAACTGAATCTCTACAGCAACCCCAAGGAGCAGGTATAATGGGGAGCCCCACACCAAGATGAGAAAACTGAGGCCCAGAGAGGGTATGAGACTTGTCCAAGTCACACAGCAAGGAGGGGCAGGTTCTGAGATGCAAGACAGAGGCTGAGCTGGCTTTCTGCAGAGGCACAAACCAGGGACAGGCCTGGGCTCTGAACCCACCCCAGCGGATGGCAGCAGCAAACCTGACTGGGGAGAGGGAGCCTGCCCTGGCCTCTCCGCCGGCTTCCAGAGCGCTGCTCAGAGAGGGGGACAGGAAAAGCACATCCGGGCGAGACACCCACGTGGCCTCTGGGGCTTTTCCCCAGCCATGGCACCTCTGAAGCTGGAAGTTGGGGCCACTGATAAATGACACCCTCATGACAGACCACCGTGGAAAAGCAACTTACGCAGGGGGAAATCCCAGCTGGTGCCTCCCTGCTCCCTGGCTGGGTCCTGGGGGAGCGAGACATGCCGGGGTCGGGGGGCCACGACCCTGGGCGTCTGGGCTCACGTACAATGCTAGATCCGGATCCCAGGGAGGTTTGAGTAAGGGGCTGGGAGGAGGAGTTTGTGGGGGATGCTCCTCTCCGGCCCCCCTGGATGGAGTTCCTCACCCCAGAAGGGGGCAAGGAGACATCTGGGGCTGCCTGTGACAAGCAAAGGAAGATTTCAGCCCATTCCCAGAGCCCGGGTTCATGGGTTCCTCTTGGCATGATGGGGCTACAGTCAAGGGAGCTCCTGCCTCGGGGCCTTTGCACCTGCTGCGCCTCTGCCTAGAATACTCCTCGGCCAGATTCCCATGCACTGGGCCCTCTCCCTTTCCTCCAGTTTCAACTCCAAAGTCAGCTGCTCAGTGAGGCTTCCTCCCTGACTCCAGACTTAAATCTGGACTCCCCCAGACGCTCTTCTCCTTCCCTGCTCGTGGGTGCAAGATGGCATCCGCGCCCTGCGACAGCGATGCTGATCTGTTTGGTTCTCAGCTCCGTCGCCAGGGCCCAGAACAGGACTGCCACGTGACATGCCTGACAGGTATTTTCCAAACGAATGAACGAGTCTCCCAGCACAGGGGCTCCCAAGAGGTCCATCCTGCGCCAAACCATCCCGCCATCCACAAGCGCCACGAACGGAGCCACAAAGCTACCAGAGACACCCCCGGGGCACTCAGGACACGGGCACAGGCCCCAACCTCCCAGCCGCTCCCCCCGTCCCCCTGTCCCCACACATGCACGTGTCCCCGCCCGGCCCGGGCAGGCTTCTGACCCTTGGCCTAGGGCGGCGCTACCGCCCCGAAAGGTCCAAAAAGCTACCCGTCTGCCATGCGCTGGGCGCGGCCCAGGACAGCGTCCAGACCCCTTTGGCGTGTCGGCAGGACCCCGGCATCCAAGTGCCGCGCTCGGCCCGGCCCGGGCCCCGCGTCTGTGGGACAGGACCCTGTATCGGCTGGTGACAAACCGGAAACTAAACAGTCTGGTCCTTCCCACAGAGTCCGATAAACACTGGTCTAGGGCAGGAGTCGGCACGCGGGGCCCGAGGCCGCGCCCGCTCCCGCATACCGGCTGCGCCACTCCCGCACGGCGGCGGCGGCGTGGACGGGCTGCACGGCCCAAAGCCCTGAAATACTGGCGGAGAAGAATACTGGCCCCTGCTCTAGAGGACAGGCCCAAAAAGTATCCTGGGGCTACAGAGACGGACACTGCCAGCGATGTCGCAATAATGGCGTCATCATCGTCACCGTCATTACATGACTGGCTGCCCACTGCGTGCACGATGCAAAGGGCCCTGCGTCGTCAACTGATTTGACCCTATGATCCTGTAACTATCCTTGCTCAGCTGATGGGGAAACCGAGGCACGGGGAGGTTAAGTAACTCGCCCCACGCTTCGCAGCTAGGACGTCACTGATGCAGGACACGAACGCAAGCAATCCGGCCCCAGAACCGGAGCCGTGACCTGCCCTTCTATGTTGAGGCACAGAGAGGTTAAGCAACTTGCCCGTGCCACGCAGCAGGAAGGGGTGGTGCCGGGACCCAGACTCTGTGTCCCTGCTTCTGGCTTCATTCACGCAGCCCAAGGGCAGGAGGAGCGCAGGAGACACAGGGGCCCCAGAGGACGCAGGGAGAAGGCAGAACCGGGCTGGGCCGCAGAAAGCCCAGAAGGAGCCGGGGTGGGGGTGGGGGTGGGGGTCTCCGGAAAAATAACGTCTGTGGGTGTTTTGCTGCGGGATTTTCAACGCTGGGAGAGGCTTGGCTCCCCAGGGCCCCAGGGAAAGACGCGGGGGCTGGGTCTGTCCAGGAGGGCGGCGGGACCATGAGGAAGGAGAGACCAGGGCACAGGGGGAGCGTGCAGCTGGACTGGGGACAGGGGACGGGGACCGAGACTGAGGCGCACGGAGCTTGGAGTGGCCGAGGCTGGGTCAGGGGCACCCAGGGGTTCTCCACAATCTTGGGGTCCAGGCCTCTACACACAAGCACCCCCAAATTAAGCCTTCCGTTCAACAGGCAGGAAGGGTTTTAGGGGGTGAGGGACGGCCAGGGAGGGACCTCCAGACTGCAGAGCCGACGCTCACCTCCAGCCCGCCACGGAAAACAGCTCCGGCCCGGACACACGCACGGCCCCTCCCCGGGGTGCCCAGAACTCCTGTTCCTGCCATTCGGGCAGCAAGCGGGGCCCACGGCTGGGCAGCCCCAGCTGAGGCAGGGTGGCCGGGTTTCGGGCAGCCCCCCGGGGAGGAGCGCACGCAGGTGGGCTCTGCCGCTGCCCCCCACAAAGGCAGAAACGCTCCACCCTGTGGCTGCAGGTCAGGCCCTGCTCACCCCTGGCCTCAGCCTCCTGCCTGGAGGGAGCGGGGACCGCTCAGTCCTGTGCAGCCACATCCTGTGTCACTGACAGCCCGGCAGGAGAGTGGGAGGCGTCTGGGGTCAGCGGTGACCACAAGTGCCCAAGAGAGGGCCCGGCTGTGGCAAAGGGCAGGGGCCACAGGACCTGAGGTCTCCCCAGGGCTGAGCCCCTGGGGCACGCAGTGGGAGATGGGCGGGAACCTCCGGCAGGACAGGAGGACAAAGGAGACAGAAGCCAGAGGCATCCGACAGTGGCCCCAGGGGAGGCAGGTCCCCCATCCAGGCAGCTGCAGTGACAGGAACAAGTAGTAACGACAGCATGTGGACTCAGGATCACCCTGTGCCAGGCACTGCCATGAGAAATCTGGTCAGATCATCAGGGTGGGCCCTCACGACAATCTGGCTGGTGGCACTCTGAGTAACCCCATTTTATGGATGACAAAACTAAGGCTCAGCGAGCTTAAGCAATTTGTCTGGTTTCCTCACCTGCAACACGTTTCCCCACCTACAAAGCTGAGATCGGAACAGTCGCCACCCTGGGGTGACCAGGGGATCCGCTGCAACTGTATACACAAAGGGCTTTGAACAACAACACTCAACCTGTAGTACACGCTCAATTAACGAGAGTGTAGTGCGTGCTCAGTTAACTCGAGCTCTTCTTTCTATTATTGTTGTTGGTGAGAATGATGCAGATGATGATTTCAATGCTCAATAATAATCTCCCACCAGGAGCATATGCCTCGGCCCTGGGCACACAGTAAGTGCTCAAGAAATAGAGGCAACGCATAGCAAGGGCTCTAAACCCTGCTGCTGCAGCAGGCGCCCTCCTTACAGTGATCCAGCCGGAGGCCTGTGACTTAGCCTCCTGGCCTCAGTCTCCTCATCTGCAAAATGGGACGACAGTATGAGCTGCTCGTGCACGAGGCTGCTGTGTGAGAGTCCAGCGACTCTGTCTGGGGAACGCTGTCACACAGCAACCCGCGACCCACCCGCGTCCTGCAGCTGGCTCTGCAAAGCGCCCAGGACTCCCCGAAGCTGGGCCGGTGAGTTCATACGCTGGCTGATGGCAATGCCCCCCCACACCTCTTCCTCTCTGTGTCTCATGAGGAGGGACCGCACTGGCCAGGCAGGACACACACACACACACGTGTACACACACACACGTGTACATGCGCACACACGGAGGCCGGCAGAGTCAGCTTCTACCCTGTCCGTGAACGCCAGGCCTCACGCCCCCTCACCAAGCAGCCAGGGGGTCAAACAGGGTAAGCCCAAGACTCTGAGGGCCCCGTGGCAAGCACCCAGAGACACGGTACGCAGTAGGTGCCCAATAAGTGCCAACAGAGCAAAACAAAGGGCCACCCTCCCGGCCAAACCACACAGCAAGAGGTGAGGCAGGAAGTGGGCCTCCCGCTCGCGGGTGGGACACAGGGGTGTGCCTTAGGAGACCCCATCGAGAGTGCACATGTGTGGGGGGCAGCCACACCAAGGCCACCTGCTCCCCGGGCCAGATCACCCGCCCCAGCCACGGGCCGGGCTCCCCGGCGAGCGGAGCCACCACCTGGACCCCCGCACCCCACAGTCAGGGATTCAGAGATGTCACGGGGGCTGGCCAGTGTCTTGTAGACACCTCGCCACAGGAAGTGAACTCCAGGCCCGGGGGGGGTCAGGAAAGACACGGGGGTGACACCTACGGGCCCAGGAAGCCTCCCCAGTCCTGCAGCAGGGAGGAAGCAGAGGTGAGACTGGGCTGCAAGGAAGGTGTGTATACAGCAGGCGCTCCATGTTTGCATGCAAATGCCACTGCCAATCAAGAGAGAGGCAGAGCCCCAGCTCCATCTTCCCAGCTTTAAAATGGAAGCAAAGAGACTGTCCCAGATGCCCAGGGCCAGGGCCCCTGTGGAAGCGTCCCGCCTGCCCGGGGCTGGGAGCCGGCGCCACGCCAGCTCGGCGCGAGGAGGAGGAACAGGGCGGGACTCACTGGGACTGCAGCAGGGCCCCAGACGTGGCCCCGGGCACACACATGCCCCTTACCGTGTGTGGCCGGGCGATCTGCACCGGGTAGGAAATGCCGTGTGGCGGGTAGCGGGGCTCGGTGGCCCTCCACGTCTGCGCCACGGGCTGCGTGGATCCCGACATGGCGGTGGGGGTCCGGGGGCTCTCTCGTAATCGCCGCCGAGGATTAAAAGCTAGTCCTGGTCATCTGCTCAGGGTCCACCCCGTCACAGGCACCTGTGAGAAAACCGGAAAAGAGAACAAGATCAGCCCGGGCAGCTGGCTCCTCGTGGCACTGTGGCAGGGTCCCTGAGCCACGCCTGGGGCCCCTGCGAGGAACAACGCGCACGCGGGGTCCGCGTGGACCCTCCTCCATGCGCCGGCACGCTCGCTGCCCGCCAACAGCACAGGGACCCCCACTCTGCACCGCCCCCCAAGCCCCACTCCCCGACCCAGCCTCCCTCCGGGTTCTGAGTCACTGGGACGAGGTTCTCCGAAAGCCTCTGGCAGCTCAGACACGTGGCTGCGGGCCTGTCCCGAGGGGCGTGGCCCGTGGGGGAGGCTCACACAAGCGTCCCGGGCGGTGGCGCCCAGGGTCGGCTCGCACAGACCACAGGCCACAGCTCGACCCAGGGCAAGGCCGGGCCTGCTGGGGTTCCCTGTGACACTGTGCAGGAGGATGACGCCGTGACGTGGGACACGAGCTGGGAGGTGACAAGGACTAGGAAGCCCAGGGCCACGCCCAGAAGAGCCAAGGGCAGGACAGGAGCCAGCGGGCCCTGGACCCTGCGTGGGGGCAGACGGACGGAGCTTTCCGCAGGAGAGGACCCGCCTGCATCCAGCCAGATGCAGTTACAGAGTGGATCCATCTCAGTTACAGAGTGGAAAACTGAGACCCAGAGGGGAGGAACAAACCGGGTTAAGGAGCAAGGGAGCCCCTCGGCGGGATGCTGCCAAGAAACCTGTGGGAGCCCCCACGACCCTTCTCCCCTTTCTCCGCAGGCCACTGCCCCACTCCCGGGTGACAGTGGCTCCAGTGCCCGGACGGAGGCCTCCCCGACACCCCCCACTGCCAGCCCCGTGAGAAGATGCGTCCATCGGGCCCCGCCACCGGCAAACCCCCTCCAGCCCCCTCACTCCACTCACACCCCAAGAGCCAGGGACAGTCCACAGAGGCGCGGGGGCCGCCCCGGCTGTGGCCATCCGACGGGGGCCGGGCTGCCCCCACGTGGTCCAGGGAGAGGGGAGAGAGGTCGCACCCCAGTCGCCACAGTTTCACCTTTACGCCCCCCGCCCCCACCCTGAACTGGTAACTTCCTTCTCCAAGCGGGTAGACACCCCAGAGACCTACGGTCTCATGTGCAGGAATGTCGGAGGGCCCATTCAGGTCGGGAGGGCCAGAGGAACGAGCGTGGACTTGACTTTCCTTTCAGGAACCACAGCAATGGTCATGTGATCCAGGCCTAGCCAAACAGATTCCTGCACCACCACCCCTGACAGTGATTGGTTCATGGATGAGCATGTGACCCAATCTGAGCCAATGAGAATCAGTCTTGAGACTTTGGCTAGAAGGACCAGGAGCAAGGAAGGGATCTACACTAGGAATGAGGAGAACCTGGAGCTCTCAGGGCCACCACGTGGCAGGAGCCTGCCAGAGAACGATGCCCACCAGCAGGAAGGCAGAGCCGAAGGGCGGAAAGCGAGTGCAGTCACACCCTGATGACAACTGTGCCCAAAGGCAGACCGAAGGCTGCTCATTTCATTTGGGGGAGCCAAGGCTCCATCTGTGCATTTCGTCCTTGCCAGCCAAGCTGGGTTTCTGTCACCTGCCACCAAGAGTTCTAACTCAAACAGGGAAAAAGAAGGCATCGGAGAGTCAGCGATCCTTCAGTTGGGTGCTGTCGAGGCTTCAGACAATGAAAAGCTGCAGAATTCCAATGCCAAGACAGACACACCTGCCACCACATCAGGAGGTTCCCATGTGGACTTTTCCTGGCCACCGAAACAGGATGTACCATTTAATTCTTACGAACATGGAAACAAGTCCTGCTCCACCACGGTTAAGCTTTGTAGCGCTAGGCAAGTCACTTCCCTTCTCTGAACCTCAGTTTTATCATCTGAAAAATGGGGGTGATCATAGTCCCCACAACTCAGAGTCAACACGAAGATGACACAAATGCACACAGTGTTCCCTAAACGCTGGACATCCATGCGCCACCCTTGCTGCTGAGGTCATGCCCATCTAGCCCCATTCCTGCCATGTACTTAACAATTTTCATCAAAGCGAGTCACTTTCATTTAGTTAGGCAAAACTTTACGTACAAAAGAAACTTATAACGAGCATACATACTAATACACAGAAACCCAGTGCCACATGGAATACATGGAAAGAATCTAAAAAACAAACGTGTAATCATGTCCATGAAAACATCTGTCCGTCTACCACCACCTGGGTCCTCCCATGAGTGCAGCCCAGAGTGCAAGAAAGGCCGGGTGACATAGATCATGCATTCAACAGGCGCCCAGCACACAGTGAGCGCTCAGCACACAAGAGCTGCCTTCATGACTGTCGCTAGCACTGTCAACAAAGCAGCCATAGCGCAGCCGCAAGGGACGCTATTCTGGCCCTGTCCGGCCCCACCAAAGGCAACATGGCATCCGCCCTGCAGCCAGAGATGAGGAACCGCCCCAGGGAGAGGGGGCAGGTGTGGCCACCAGGGCTGGGCCCTGTTCCAGAATCCCCCTTGCTGGAGCTTGGCTCAAAGCCCAGAAGACCCTGGCCATCAGACGTGGCAGAGCAAACTCCATTCCGCTCTCTAGATTTTGAACAACTCCCCAGTCTCTCTGAGCACACGAGGCTGTCAGCTCGGCAGGAAGCTGCCCCCTTCCAAGGGCACCACGGGCAACTTCGAAATTGCTGTTGGATTTTGAGTTGCGAAAGGTGGCTCAGAGGTCTCATCCACCCATAGCTCTTCTGACCTCCTTTGCCCGATGAGATGCCGCCTGGGCACGGCAGGCCCCTGGCACGTGCTCCCCACGGTGCACACACGCTCCTGAAGCACCCCTGGGGCCGGCTGACTTCCGGCTCCCTGTGACTCACAAGGTGCCCCCGGCCGCGCTTGGGGGCTGGAGCTCCCAGCCCCATGTCCTTGCGTGCAGCCTGGGCCCAATGCCAGCGGGTGGCTCTGGTGACCTGGTGCCACCCTCCCTCACCACGAGCTCAGCAAACCCAATCTCCACCCCCTCCCAACCTGAGCCACGTCTGTTGCCAGCTCAAAAAAAAATTTTTTTAGAAAAAGTTTGGCAGTTCCCTGAAAATTTAAACACAGAACTACCGTATGACCCAGCAATGTCAGGCATATACCCCAAAGAATTGGAAACGGGGACTCAGACGAAACGTGTCACGCACGTTCACAGCTGCACTACCGAGGACAGCCCAAAGGCAGACACAGCCCGAATTCTCGCCTGTTCGAATTCCCACCTGCCCGTGCGGTGGAGCATTACTCAGCCAAGAAAAGGAACAGAGCTCCGGTAGGCTGCACCGTGAGGGACTAGAAAACGTGGCACTGAATGAAAGGAGCCAGGCCCAGAAGGCCACATATCTCGTGATTCCACGTATGGAAAACGTGCACACGGGGAAATCCGGAGGGACAGAGAGCAGAGTGTGGGTCCCAGGGTCGGGGGAGGGCAGTGGCTGCTAGAGGGTGTGGGGTTTGGCTACGTCACGGGAAGGTTCTGAAAGCAGAGGAGGTGGGTGCAGTTACAAATGCGAAAGAAAATCCTAAGCTTTGGCTTTTCATCAACAAGGTTTGGAGGCGAACGCCGAGGAGAAAAACGATGTTACTTCCTCAATCGTGGGGGCAGGCGAGGGTGAGCGAGACTGGAGGGTCTGGAGGAGGAACTCGGACGCAACGGCCCCGACGTCACCGCAGGGTCTGGCCGCTCTGGGGTCAGGAGAGGCCGGTCGGCAGTCATTCACTGACAGACACTCTGGGGTCCCCACTGCTCACTGAGCCCCGGGGCAGGTGCTGGGGACTCAATGTGAAGGAGGCAGGGGCCAGGCCCCGCAGGGCAGACAAGCAGCAGACAGTGGCTGCTGGAAGAGGACAGGGGTTCCTCACGTCCAGACCTAGCCCAGCCTTGGGGCAAGTGAGAGGATACGAGGGAGAACTTCCAGGGGGTGAGGAAGGGAGAGCTGGGAGGACGGAGAGGCAGGGGTGCTCCAGGCAGAGAGCACCTCCTGAGCTCGAGCCCAGAGGTGAGCGCAGGCACCCTGTGTTTGAGAAATTCACGGAGTGAGCATCGGAGGAGGAGCATGGTATGGATGGATTTCGTTCTGAGGGCAACGGGGAGCCACAGAAGGCGGTTGAGAGGGAGAGCAGAGGCTCAGAGTGTTTTACAAGCAGCCAGTGTGGGGAGCGAGCATGGAGCAGGGAGACCTGGGGAGGCTACAGAAAACATCCCGGAGAGGACGTCGGTGGCGTCGGGGCAGCAGTGACAAGAAGGGGAAGCGGGCAGACAGCATGAAAGCCAGGAAGGGATAGACTCCGCAGGCCTCGGAAGCAGCTCCTCACCGAGTACAGGAGGATGTCCTTCTGACACCTCACTCCGAGCCTCAGTTCCCCCAGCGGCAGGCTGGCCACACAGCAGCTCCTGCCCCACGGCCTGGTAAACAGCAGGTGCTCAGCAAGGCAACGCAGCAAGGCCAGGCCACCAAGGAGGAAAAAGCAGTGCTCTGGCGAGGTTAACGGGCCTGCTGGCCCAGGTGGCACCGGACATCAGACACCAGCACAGAGGCTCTCTGGCCCCCGAGCCCACCCAAGGGTGACAGCAAAACGCCACACGTGGCCCACGGAGGGCGCTCCCCGATCACGGCACGCAGGGGGCCTGGCCCCAGACCGCGCCTGCGCGGGAGGCAGCACGCACAGCAAGGGCCCTCGCTGCCCACAAGCCGCGGTCCGACCTGGCGGCCCCTACCCGCCTGCTGGCCCACGTCCCCTAGTCCCCGCCGCTGTGCGCCTCGGTAGGGCGTGCAGATCCACAGGACAGTGACAGGGACACGCGCTCCGCTGTCTCAGCCACCCTTCTTACCGACGCCTCGCGCCTAAGAGCCCTCGAGGTGCCTGGCACACAGTAGGTGCTCAGTGAAGGAATCTGCCCAGCAGGCGAGTGATGCCCGAAACCTCCACTCGTGCATCCACCCTCCAGCTGGCGGGCAGAGGCCCCTTTCCTGGGGG